AATTCTGGGAGTTGAAGTCCACATATCTTAAAGTTGCTAAGGTTGAGAAACCCTGGGTTAAAAGATTACATCTCCCTTGTATTACCCTTGTCATCTGATAATTACAAGCCACACAACATGGAAGTGGCTTGCCTTCATTCTTCTTCAGCTATTCTTTATTTCCTTGTCCAGCTTGTAGCCCTTGGATTCTGTGTGGTCTCCTATCCAAGTACTACACGTCTGATCCTGCTTAGTTTTTTCACCATCAGCCAAGGTTGGCTACATGCTGAGAATCTTTGTTACAGAGATGTTAGTTAAGTTTCCAAAATTTCTGCTCAACTTTACTTCAATCCTTTTCCTATCATGTGAACTCTCCGAATTTCACATAATCTCTCTCTCTCTCTCTCTCTCTCTCCTGTATATCTATCTATCTTCAAATGGTTTTAGCAAGTTTTAAAAAGGAGCGTTAGAGTAGAAAAGGGAGATTCCAGCTCAGATGTTCACAGCCGTAAAGTTCGCTTTGGGCCAGTCACTTTCTCTCAGGTCTAACCTACCTGAGATGGTTGTTGTGAAGATAAAATAGGGTGAGGTGGAGAGGCTGGAATGCAGTTTGAATTCCTTGGGAGAGCATAAATAAATACTGATAAAATGAATAAGCAAAACAAATACAGCCTGCATAGGAAAATAGTAACGGTACGGTAGTCAGTAAACCTTTCGTCCAGCTTACCAACTCCCAGAATTCCAAGTCAGCTAGCCTAAAGCAGGGGGGGGGGGGGAGATGGGCGCCATACAAATTAAATAAATATAAATAAATAAATATGAAGTATGTGAATTGCATCAGAGATTAAATCAGGGTGGCATGCAACATAAATAAATAAATAAAATGCATGCATATTGCATCAGAGATTAAATCAGGGCCAACGGCCGTTTTAAGCCCCCCGAACACGAACTTCTTTATTATTAACTAACAATCATCCCCTAAATGATGATCTGCCTCATTTCCACTCTCCGGTTCGTGTGTGCATGAGAAAGGGAACGCTCAACTCACGCTGCTATTATATTTGCACTTGTCAGGTGGGAGGGAGGCTGCCTGCCCATGTATCCTTTTAACCAAGGGTTAACCACAAGCAGCCTTAGTGCCAAATCCGCGGAGGGCGCTCCGTGTCAACCCTCGGCATCCCGTCTCCCGCCCGGCCGCGTCCTAGGCCGCCCCTTCCGCGGCTCTACGCCTGGGGAAGGCGAAGATCCGAAGCGTCCTTCTCCTGCAGCGCCGAGCGGCGGCGGAGACCTCGGAGGATAAAATTCATGTTTCTTAGGCCCGGCTGTTTTGCGGAAGGGTGATTTATGTGCGTTCTCTTGCTGCGGGGGAGGCGGGTGCTGCCACGTGGTTCCCGGAGCCAAAAAGGCGCCGTAGTATTGTAGTAACAGATTTAAAACAAAGCAACGAGAAAGCTATACCGGCTTCTGCTCTTCTGTTTCAAGGGCTACCTACTTGCTGCCAGGGACCTCCAAAGAGCTTCCCACCACGCGGAGCAAGGCTGCTACGTCATCTCCCAGCTTGCGGATGCGTGCATGCCTCTTCCACCTGGGGACGCGGCGTCCAGAGGACTTAATCGCCTGCAATGCAATGCAAGACAAGCCTGCACCTGAGCATACGAAGAGCGCGTGTCAAACCCCCTTGTCCCCACCTGGGGACGCGGCGTCCAGAGGACTTAATCGCCTGCAATGCAATGCAAGACAAGCCTGCACCTGAGCATACGAAGAGCGCGTGTCAAACCCCCTTGTCCCCAGCAGCAGCCGCGTTTTGATCTCGCTTAAAAATCCTTCTTCTCGGCTTCCTTCCCCCTCTAATCGCTCCTTCGATCATCATCTCGCCTCCCCGGATTAATTTTTTTTAAACACGGCACGCTCCTCCCAAGAGGAACCTCACCTTTGAAAAAAGAGAGGCCGAAGGTTAGGTTGAACTAGGCAAGGTTACTCTGCGTGTGGCTTATCGCCCGCGTAAAGGACCGAACTACACGCCCAGCGCAACGAGGGCTGCGCCCGGCAGACTCCGCAGTACTGTAACGGGAGAGCGTGGCGCCCCGCCCCTCTCCGAAGCCCCGCCCCCTCCCCTCCCGGCCAATCACGTTGCAAAAGGGCACGTTGCCCTCAGTTGAAGCCAGAAGCGAACGTCAGGTCGGGGTGGCGAAGGAAGCGTGGGGATTTTGCTGAGGGGAGACGGTCGGGCGGGATGGAGTTGGGGGAGGCGGTTGGCGGGGAAAGGTAAGGAGGATCTTGCTCTGCTTCCTTCCGGGGAGCGATGTGGCTTTCCTGGCAGAGAAGGCTGTTGCCTGTAGGCAGTCGAAGGGTCTTCAAACTCTTCTGCAGGTGGGTGGCTCTAAATGCGGGGTTCCGCCTCTGGGGAGGCACGTGGGGGCGGCGTGGGTGTGGGGTTCCCTGCGGACCGGGCTGTTCGTTCTGCCGACTTTACCGCCGCCTCCTCCTCTTCCCCCCCTCCAGAAGGCTCACTCCGTTGTAACAGCTGCCTGGAAGGCAGGAGTTCAACAGGGAAAGTCGCCTCTGCACGTTGTAAGAGCTTCACGAGCATATTTCACTAGCTTTGTCGGCCGGCTTTCTAGTTTTTAAAGATTCAGGAGCTCCATGGAGTGGACTGGGCAACCCTCATTTGTACAGAGTTGATGAGTGCCCATAATACAGTATGTAGTCTAGACCAGTGTTTCTCACCCTTGGTGACTTGAAGATGTGTGGACTTCAACTCCCAGAATTCCCCAGCCCACCCAGCTGGCTGGGGGATTCTGGGTGGTGAAGTCCCCACATCTTCACGGCACCCAGGGG